ACACGCACACACACGCACACACACACACACACACACACACACACACACACACTCACACACACACACACACACCCTCCAACCTCCTCGAACCTCCTCCTCTTGCCTTCGACCGTGCAGAGTCTATCTGAGAGGCAGCAGGCGCGCATCCTGGACCACCCAGCGTGCCACACCCCCCTCTTCCTCATCGTTCTCATCGCTGAACTCTGCGCGTTCGGCAGCTTTGAGGAACTCGACGACAAAATTGAGGCCTGTCTCAGGGTGAGATGTATGGTGCCAGCAGCAGTGGCGTGTGTGGTGTGCGTTGTACAAGTGTTGTATTGTGTGACGTGCTGTGCGTGCGTTGTGTAAGCGTTGTGTTGCGTTGTGCAAATGTTGTGTGATGCATGCACGCTTGTCTGCTCGATCAGGTGCGCGTTGTGTTTGTGCACAATGACCACGCTTCTCCATTTGAACTCTCATGTCCTCCATCCATCGTTCCTCCCCCCTCCATCTCATCGTTCAGTCGGAGAATGTGGAAGCGCTCTTCATGCACGTCCTCCAACGCCTCGACGACGACTTTGTCGGCGTGCTTGCAGGCAATGGTGCGTTGTCTTGTGCCACGTGGCTCCTGCCTGGGTTGGCTGGCGTGTTGGCTGGTGTGCTGGCTGGTGTGCTGGCTGGTGTGCTGGCTAGTGTTATGCTCTTCAATAACCATTCCTTACAATGGGTGTATTTATGTGCGTTCATGATCATATGCGTGTGTGTGTGTGTGCAGGCGATGGCGCTGTGCGTGCTGTGATGACGCATCTCGCATGTGCGCGACACGGGTTGTCAGAAGCCGAGATTATGGTAATTTTGCAGTTGAGGGGGAGAAAACTGTTATGCATGGAGACGCACATCGCTATTGTTGTTTCTCATTCGAATGCGATCATGTCTCTCGCTTGATGTGTTCGCGGCACTCTGACACGCACACACACACACACACACACACACACACACACACACACCTTCCTTGTAGGATTGCCTGGAGCTGACGCCCCAGACATGGTCACGCCTCTATTTTGCAATGGAGGACCTGCTCGTCACGCGTTCGGGCCTGCTGTGCATCAAACGCATGCAATTGCGCCTGGCCATTGAACGCCACTACAACCTGGATGATGAGGTGTGTATTTGTGTGTGTGTGTGTGTGTGTGTGTGTGTGTGTGTGTGTGTGTGTGTGTGTGTGTGTGCGTGTTTGTGTGTGCGTGCGTGTTTGTGTGCGTGCGTGCGTGTTTGTGTATTTTGTGTGTGAGGATGCACCTTGGCACTGTAACATCCAACCAGACTCATCACCCGCCGTCCTTCTCACCACCGCCACCATAATCATCACCATCACTACCACCATAATCATCACCACCA